GAGGGCTCAGACGACTAGAGAGATGGTGGCGGTGTGCCCACGACAAAGCAACAAGAGCATCTTATAGGACATTTATGAGAGCCTATGAGATGGCAGTCAAAGCCGCAGAGAGAGAGTTCTATGCGGCCATGATTGCGTCTGCAACCTTATGCCCGGCACAATTGTTTAGAAGAATTCCGTTGTTTACAGATCTGCCATATGGCAGACCAAATTTAGGGAATTAGATATCGGCTGTGAGGCTTTTATGAGCTATTTCGCAGATAAAGTCTTGTTGCTCCGCCGCAACCTCCCCGCCACAGTTGAGACAGTGAGCGAACTTGAGGCCCCATGCATGTCTTCTGGTCCCATTCTGGATTATTTCAGTCCACGCAGCCTTAAAGAAGTCGACAGACTGCTCTCAACGGTATGCCCAACCACGTGCAGCCTTATCCATGCCCTTTGTGACTTATAGCTGGTCATGAAGGGTTTCAAGGTGCCCTCAGGGATATTATCAACATGTCCTTCATTGAGGGACGGTTCCTGGGGGCACTCAAGGAAGCATTGGTCCACCCTTTCCTGAAAAAACCATCCTTGGACCCAGCCGAATTGGCTAACTATTGGCTGGTTTCAAATTTGCCCTATTTGGGCAAATTACTTGAGAAAGCGGTGGCAATTCAGTCGGAGAGCTTTATGGATGGCAGTTTATTTTATTTACTATTATATTTCTATCCTGCCCTCCCCGCGAACTTCCATGCTTGACCCTTTCTAGTCCAGCTGTCGGACTCCTGCAGCAATCAGAATCAGTGACTTGCTTCTTTAGAAGGAAAATTTATTGATCAGTATTGGCAGAATGTCACTACTTCAGGATCCGTGTTAAGACTAAAGTAAAAAGCTTGGGGTAGACAGATATACAGGGTTCAAAGGAGGGCACAGGGTGGCAGAGAGTCAGTCAGGGAAAGAAGCGGGGCCCTCCAAAATCTAAGGACCCCTCGTTCCCAGAGGATGATGTTACAGCTAGGAACCAAGGTCATACACATAAGCCATACAGATAAGGGAGCAGCAGCCAGACAGCAAGAAAGTGAAAGTTACATTCCAAGGAATCCCTTCCCCCTCCACATTAGCCTTTATGGCAGTGAGCTGACACCGGCTTCCGTCCGGGCCATGGGACTGAGACAGCTCTGGTCGCCCTCACAGACGACCTCCGGAGGCATCTAGATCGGGGTGGTACGGCAGTACTGTTGTTGTTGGACCTGTTGGCGGCGTTTGATATGGTTGACCATCAGTTACTGATCCACCACCTCGTCAACACTGGGATTCAGGTACTTGCCTTGCAATGGCTTGTCTCCTTCCTACAAGGTTGTGGACAGAGGGTGGCACTTGGGGAGCAGACGTCTCAGAGGTACCCGCTGGTGTGTGGGGTTCCCCAAGGGGCGATGCTATCCCCGATGTTATTTAACATCTACATGCGCCCCCTTGCCCAGATTGCCCGGAGGCATAGGCTAGGGTGTCACCAATACGCAGATGACACCCAGCTATATCTGTAGGTGGGCGGTCAGTCCAACTCTACCCCAGATGACCTGGACCGGGCGCTTCAGGACGTCACGGGCTGGCTTAGACTGAGTCGATTGAAATTGAATCTGATGAATACGGAGGTCCTGTGCCTGAGTCAGAGCGGAGGTAGGGATCCTATTACCGACCTTCAATGGGGCACTGTTGGTGCCAGCGTGGAGGGTCAGGAGTTTGGGAGTGCTCCTGGATGCCGATGCCGCCTTAACAATGGAGGCCCAGGTAGCAGCCACTGCCAAGGCAGCCTTTTTCCATCTACGGCTGATTAGGCAGTTGGTTCCCTTCCTCGAACGCAATGACCTGCCAATGGTGATCCATGCTATGGTCACCTTAAGATTGGACTACTGCAATGCTCTCTACATGGGGTTGCCCTTGTCCCAAATCCAGAAGCTGCAGCTGGTGCAAAATGCAGCAGCCAGGCTGTTGATGGGCCTCTCTATACGAGAGGACATCCGGCCTGTGCTGAAGGCACTGCACTGGCTGCCAATAGCATACCGGATTCGCTTCAAGGTGCTAGTTTTGACCTTTAAAGCCCTATATAGTCGGGGGCCAACCTACCTGAAGGACCGCCTTTCCCCATATATCCCCCAGAGAGCAGTGAAGTCAGGGTGACTCTCCTTGGCCCAAAAGTCACCAGATTGGCCGTTACCAGAACGAGGGCCTTCTCAGTGGAGGCTCCAAACTGGTGGAATGAGCTCCTGGAAGACATCATGGCCCTGCAGGACCTGTTACAGTTCCGCAGGGCCTGTAAAATGGAGCTCTTCCACCAGGCTTTTGATTAGGAGCCATCGCTGATGAATGAGCTCTCGACAAGTGGACTGTTACAGCCACCATGCTGCTGGCGTTCAGAACAACTTCGGACACCGCCCTAGCTTCATCGGACCACCTCATAAAAATTCGCCATCTGTACTCAACTGCACTTTATGTAATTTATTTGTGGTTTGAAATTTTATGATAGTATTTATTGTATTTTATTGTATTTTAAACTATTGTACCCCGCCTTGAGCCTGCCTGTGCAGGCATGACTAAGGGAACCTGGACCAAGGTTAGTTGCGGTTGACTCTGATCTCACCATGGCAGAGGGTCATGATCGTCCTCTCTTTTATATCACATTACAATTGGGTTGCCCCTAACCAGTTTCCAACCAGGCAGTAAGGGACAGTTTGAAGACTTCTGTCCTATGGTTCCTTGACATTTGCAGGATTTTCTGCCCTCTGGCTCTGCACTGTCATTCCATTTTCATTTTGGAACCGGTTACTATGAGTTACTATGGTTAGACAGTGTCATAGATGCAACAAACATGAACTTCAGAGGACGGCGGAAGACAGGAAGGCCTGGCGTGATCTGGTCCATGGGGTCGCGAAGAGTCAAGACTCGACTGAACAACAACAACAACAACTATGAGGAAAGAAGTGGGGGATTTCTAAATGTCAAATTAAGCAAAACCTTTAAAAGCCTTAAGGATTCCATGTACTGGGTACTAGGGATTTGCCTTCAGATATTTCCTGTGCAAATATATATCCAAAAAGCAGCATATTTGTAGTTTCTGTATTTATTTGGGTGTTCTAATGTTATCTGGGATTTTTCAGGATACCGGGAAAAATCCCAGAAATATTTGGGAGTAACTGGGAATATCAGGAGTCAGTGTTTTAAGGCTTCCAGAATATCCCCCCCCCCCTTTAATTTTACTGTGTCTTTGTCTTGCTGGGGCTTGGTCTCAGCTTGCCAGGTTGCTGTACCTTGGATTCTGTCCTCTGGAATAATACCAATTTTTTTTTTGAGGTCCACATCCCCACAGGGTACTGTAGTAGGCTATTAAAAAGTGGGACATCGGCAACTAATGGAAGTGAAAGAATACGCTTCCCTGCTCTGTTGCTGTTGATAATGTATGCGTGAAAAGATGGTCAATCCTTCATTCAAGCGGGTCCATCAGATTTTTCTTACTCTTCTGCCTCCCTGTGGAACCCTGCTTTGTGTTAGAAAAGGAGACAATCGCATTTAGTGGAAGTAATAATCTTTCTGTAACGGATTCCAGGCTTGAGATCAGCCTGCAAGACAAGTCATCTGCAGTCACATGACTAGCAGGGATGACGTAATCCTGACGCAGAACTCAGGGGAGGGTTCTAATGAAGAAGAAAAAAACTCTTGACAGTTGGAGTTTGGCAGTTGAGCCTGGCAGTTGGTTCTTAGGGAGTTGGTTCTGTGCCAGGGGACTGACAAGTCATGTTGGACATTGCTTAGCCCAAGAGCAGAGGAGATCTCTCTACAGATTCCCAGATTAAGGGAACCTGAGAAGAGCCAAATGTAGTTGTATACTACAGTGACAACCAGGGCTTTTTTTGTAGAAAAAGCCCAGCAGGAACTCATTCGCATAATAGGCCACACCCAATAGCAGAAACTCATTAGCATATTGGGCCACACCCCTGACAGTACCACTCATTAGCATATTAGGCCCCACCCACATGTTACCAGAAGTGTGGTCATCCAGCCACACCCACCTTTTGCTTCTTATTCTGTTTACCTTGTTTGTTGTCAAAACCCAGAGCTTTTTTTGTAGCAGGAACTTCTTTGCATGTTAGGCCACACACCCCTAATGTAGCCAATCCTAATGAGTTTCTGCTGTTGGGTGTGGCCTATTATGCTAATAAGTTCCTGCTGGGCGTGGCCAATTCAGGAGCCAGCCGGAACGCCGTTCCTGTGTGTTCGTGCCCAAAAATAGCCCTGGTGACAACTAAGGAGTCTTAAAAGAAAGATAAACTCCTTGTGGTGAAACAAAAGAGACACATTCATCTCACTAAGAGTTTGTACCCTGCTGGAAAGAGAGTCTGGTTTGGCGGATTTGGTGTGTGCCAAGAGTGTTTGTTGGACTGGTGAGAGTCCAATATCTAAACCAGGGCACAGTGGAGGTGTTTCCCTGTAAAGGGGGAGAATACCTGAGGAGTCCACCCAAAACCTGGTCGTCTAAAACAGCACAGGGGTTGAGTTGAGAGTGAAAGTGTGGTTTGTACTGTGACATCTGAATTGACTGTTTATAAAGGAACTAACTTAAAGCTGAATTATTCCATCTGAAACAACGTATCCACAAACCTAAGCTTCTTGTAAATATATATTCCCTGCCTGCCTATCCTTGTAAATAAAATCTTCAGTTGATTTTACTGTTCCAAATTGCATGTGCCTCAGTGTCTGACAGGATCTAAGTTAAACATTAAGCTCCATCCTATTAAAAAAAAGAAGAAAAAAGGCAGTGTTCATAAAAAGCCCCAGAGACAGTAAGTAGCTTAATCCGAGATAGAAGAAAAACTGTGTAATCCTGAGATACAGAGGCTGGCAGACAGTGTCAGTGGAAAATAAGCCTGCTCCAGCCTGTGAAAGGTTAAAAAAGACACCAAACCCCACATACTCAGGAATAAGGGAGTTCCTCACAGTGTCTGTCTCTCTCTTTAAAAAATAAAAAGCTCAGGCAGTACAGACAGTGAAGAAAGTACAGATTCTGAAGAAGAGGATGGAGCAAAGCAAGACTTGTTTGACTCAAGCAACAATACAGAAGACAAGATGGAAGTAGATTTAAATGAACGTAAGTTGCTTCTCACCTATAAAACACTGGATCCATGCCGTGGGCCATTGTCACCAGAAGTGAGAAAACACTTAACTTTTTTGTTGAGATTCTTATTAATGTCAGTGTTAATATAAGGGCCCACATTCTAATTTGTTCACCTGATCAGTGGTAAATCTGAACTTTTAAGTAAGGCTACTTTGGACTTGCATTTGTTTGGTTATTTTGGGATTAAATGGCTCTTTAAGCAACAGCATAGTCGTTATCTTGGATATAAAGTTGCAGGGGAAATCCTATGTACAAGCAAGAATGTGTGGCTAAAGCAGTGACTATTTAAACTAAGTGATATATGAGATTTATGATTCAGAGGTATTTAAGCATGTAGTCATGCCATAAAGCATCATATGGGTAAAATTCAGGCTGAAGCACAAATGTGGGAGAGCAATGACACTGGGTTCGCAGGGATCCAAAATCTTGTTTGCAAAATAGTCTTAGAAATATTTCAAGATGGAAATAATAATCCTCATATTGTATTTGTTAAATCAATGTATATGATCTTCGTTGTGGTCTCTATGCATCACACCTATGGGTTAAGGTACCTGCGCCAACTCCGATTTGTTAAACTTCTAACAAGCTCAAAAGGATCCGAAGCCCCGCCTCCGAGCATGCACAGGGACTTCAACCACGCATGCCCAGAGAGCGGGGCCCCAGTATCCCGCCAGTTCTCTTCTGACCACTGTGTTTTCTGTAGTTTTTTTTCTTTTCCCTTTGCTCACTTTTCTTCTCCCCTTTGTTAGTACTTCCATCTAAAAGGAAAAGTTAGGTTTTGTTGTTTTTTCTTCCCGACTTCAGTCGGACCCCACCTTTCCCCCGTTTTTCCTTCTGATTTGCCCTCCTTTCTATGGCAAATCAGTGGGGGATTTTCAAGCGTTGCACCCAGTGCGGGTACAAGCTAGCACCGCCTGATGGCCACTCCTTGTGTTTACTTTGTCTGGGTGAGGCACATAAGACAGACACTGTGCCAAGTTTTTGAACCAGACCTCTAAGAACAGAACGGCCAGAGTTCAAGTGGCTCTCCTGGAGTCTGCACTTCGGCCAAAGGTGATGACTTCTACTCCGACTGAGGTAACCCCGAAATCGATATCAGACGATTGGCTCCAATCGGCACCGACTGATTGGCATCGATCAACACCGAAAGACTGGCCTCAATCATCGGAAGCACTAGACAATGCCTCTTCCACTGGTGGGCCCTCAGCATCGAAGCCGCCAACACCGACTACTCTATTGGTGATGTCAACACCAGCATCCAAAAAAAAAGAAAGCTACCAGGAGCCATACTAAGGTGAAACACAAATTCCTTAAACCTGGCTCGAAGTCTACTTTGGTGAGTGCCACAATGAGCTCTGATACACAGGCCAATAGCCCCCTGCCTCGCTCTGTTTCAGCAGACCTGTCGGCAGTCCCAGAGATACCACCTATCATGCTACTAGACTCGCCAATTTGACGACTTGGTTCTCCGATGCACAGATCAGTACCGGGTGATCTACAGTTCTTGGGTTTGGACATGAAAGAGGTACCCTCTCATCAAATGACATCCCATCGGAGCTCCAAGGCCTCAGCTTCTGAATGCTCTTGATCCTGATCATTCATCAATGCCGGTCATCGACACCGACAGAGATCCAGGCTTAGGACTTTCCCGCCACAGCAGTTCTTCCCTGAGACGAAGGAACCGATCTCCTTGTGATTGCCTTCGCCATTCCACAGTCAACCATGATGGTGACATGGGACCAGAGACAGCTTCATTATCTCGGCGGGAGGGCAGGGTATAAATCAAATAAATAAATAAATCTATATAGTGCCTTCCTATTGGCTCCTGCGCTTTTATGGCTGAATCCGAGTAAGCTGATGGACTGGGACCAATGCTCGGGCATCTCTCACCGTGCCCGCTCTCCGGCATGAGACCATATGACACTAGCACCGGTATTGCCAAAGGCCCGCGAGAATCCATCTACACCGATGGCCACTCCCTCATAGAGGAAATTGAGACTGACTTCGCCGAGGCTGACAGCTCCGGTGCAACCACAGCCAGTGATACCACCACCACTCCTGATGCAAGTTAATCCACCTCCATATGCATTGTCAGGAAAGGAAGAGTCATCTCACTCCACTGGGAGTGAATCGGACGAGGAGAGCTCCAGCATGCCAGCTATCCCTTCAGTTCCCTCTTCTAGTCAACAGGTTGCTGAAGACCTTCCTATCTCCCCTTCGGAGGATCTCCACTCTTATGGGGACTTAATCAAGTGGATGGCCCATTCACTGGGCATTGCTATCACTCAGCCTCAACTTCAAGTCACTGATGCCCTATTTGATATCATCCAACTTGATACCTCGACAGTGATTACTCTCCTTACTCCCTTGTCCACTCCTGTCTCTACCAGAAGGTTGGACCACATGTATAACATCCAAGAAGCAGGAGCGGAATTCCTCTGTTACCACCCTAAACCTAATTCTATGGTGGTCACCCTCTCTTGTAAGAATAAAAAACCCGCATTCTACCCCATCCAAAAAGGAGAGTAAAAAGCTGGATGTGTTTGGCTGTCGCTTTTAGTCCGCCGGCACTCTGGGCGGGAAGATGTCAAACTATGTCACTTGTATGGGGCACTATGAATATTCTCTATGGGAGCAGATGTCATCTCTCCTTGCACTCCTCCCTGAACAACATCGTGATGAAGCCAAGATGATACAGGAGGGCATGATACTGGCAAAACAGGTAATCAACTCTGCGAAGCACACCTTGGATACCTGCTCCAAGACTATGTTGTCTGCCATGGCCCTCCACCATCACTCCTGGCTTCGTACCACATCTCTTCAGTGTGATACCTGAGCGTTTATCAAGGATCTGCCCTTTGATGGACAAGGTCTCTTCCACTCCACCACTGACTCCATTCTACAAGATATGGATTAGAGTCTCAAAACGTCATGGAGCCTGGGAGTTTTCCCCTCATACCAGTCTCAAAGGTCTAAGACATCGTCCCAGAACAATAGGAGGCCATATAATAGACAGTCCCCAGATGACTCCTGGAAATCTAGGCACTCTCACTCCTCATCCAGATCCACTTACTCCCAGAAGCTCTAACCCTCATGGAACTAGGGGTTTAGATGGCCACAATCGGACTTACAAGATGCTTACTTCCACCTCGACATCTTCCCTCCTCACACATGGTTTCTCTGCTTTCCTATCTGGGAGGACCATTACCAGTATACAGCCCTGCCATTTGGTCTTTCGACTGCACCCACAAAGACAATGGTGGTGGTGGCAGCTCACATAAGACTTCAGGGGGTGATGGTGTTCCCCTTTATAGATGATTGGCTCTTGGTAGCAAGGTCCGAAAGCCTTTTGTTGGGCAATGTACAGCTTACCCTAAATGTCCTTTGAAGACTGGGACTTCGTGTCAACCACAAAACATCGTGTCTGACCCCTTCTCAATGGTTGAATTTCATAGGAGCAACCATCAATTGTACCATAGGCAGTGTGTTTTTCCCCAGTTAACGCACTCACACTTTGGTATCCTTGACGCACTCCCTCCGGTTATCGCCCATGGTCTCCGCTCTCGATGTTCAAAGGTTGCTGGGGCTCATGGCAGCTACAACGGGAGTCTTGCCCTTGGCAAAATTTCATATGCGCCCCTTGCAACTTTGATTTGTCCGGACTTTCATACCCTCCAGACATCCTCAGTCCAAGCATCTTATAATACCAACAGACATGAAGGATTCTCTAATGTGGTGAGAAAACATTCCCAATCTTCTAACAGGGGCTCTTTTCCATCCACTGACACCTACCATAATGGTAACCACAGACACCTTGTTGTGGGGCTGGGGGGGTGCATCTCAATGGCCTTTGTGTGGGGCCCCCATGGGAATCACACATGAGGGGATCCCACATCAACTTTTTAGAGCTCCTGATGATCCAATACACCCTTCAGTCCTTCCTACCGATGATTGAGAAAAGGACAGTGACAATTCTGATGGACAATACTACGGCACTGGCTTATATAAACAGGCAAGGCCCGCCAACTATGTTGCTTGGCTCTCACTCTTTGGGACTGGTGTCTTGGCCACGAGATCTGGATATCAGCAACCCATCTTCCGAGTGCACAGAACCACTGGGTGGATGCACTCAGCAGGGGCGCAATGCAGTTACATGAATGGGAGCTGAACTGGAGATACCTGTGACCCATATTTCAACAATAGGGCCAACCACAGATAGATGTTTTTGCAACGCGATGAAACTCCAGATGTGCCCAGTTCTGCTGCAGGGGGGGAACGGACCATCTTTCTCTGAGGGACAGTCTCATGATCCCTTGGAACGGGAGGTCGCTGTTCCTTTTCCCACCGATCCCTCTCCTCACAAGGGTGCTGGACAAGATACTGCGACACAGGCTGGATTGCATTCTTGTGACTCCTTGGTGGCCGAGGCAAACATGGCTTCTGCTGCTCCTACACCTCTCCAACAAGACTTTTCTGCATTTCCCACGTGCAACAGATTTGCTTCTGTGGAGGGTCAGGTACTATATTACAGTGTGCCCCACCTTAAACATAACAGCTTGGAGTCTTTCCAGTAGAGTAGCAATGATCCTTTTGAATAGCAGAAAGCTTTCCACCCACCCTTCTTACAGATACAAATGCTCCAAGTTCCTTGCCTTTCTCCAACCCTATGAGGGGAATCCTACCTCAGTTGGAATCCCTTGCATTTTTTATTTCATTCTCTCTCTTGCTGATGCCGGACTCAGCCATTCTTCGCTCAGAGTATTTGGCCGCTATCTCAGCTTTTCACACAAGACTGGACAATGCTTCAGTCTTTGCCCATCCCGACTCTAAGAGATTTTTGAGGGGTCTACTGCATCTCTACCCCCACTCAAATTGCCAGCCCAGGCTTGGGATTTGCCCACTGTACTGTGCAGACTCACCTGCAAGCCCTTTGAATCCATGGCTACATGTGAGTTGAAATTTTTATCATGGAAAATGGCATTTCTACTGGCAGTCACATCAGCTGGTAAAGTTAGTGACCTGTTAGCTTTCAGGCATGATGCTCCATATCTGAGTTTCTTGGCAGATGGTGTGACATTGACACCAGATATTACTTTCCTACCAAAAGTGGTCTACAAGTTCGACTTGCATAGGCAAGTCATTCTACCCGATTTTTATTCAAACCCTACATCTGACGTTGAGTGCCTGTGGCATACGCTGGATGTTAAGAGGGTACTCTTATTCTATTTGGACAGAACATGCAGGATTCACAAAGACCCTCATCTGTTTCTGTCCTACACTATGCATTCTCTACGTCAAAAGTTCTCAACTCAGAGACTATCTAAACGATTGTCAAGGCCATTAAACTTTGTTATCTCTTAGATAAGAGGCTGTTGCCTGTTCAGCCTAGGACTCACTCTACACGTGTGATATTGACTTCCACGGCCTTTCTCAAGGGGGTGCCCCTTCAAGACATCTGCCAAGCAGCTTCGTGGGCCACTCCGAACACGTTCATCGAACATTACACTGTGAATGTGCATGCATGACATTCTCACATGGGCTGATCGATCCTGCAATCTTTGGTCTCCTGAGATGCTGCAAGCACCCTCCTCCAGGTAGGCCTAAGCTTGCATAGGTGTGATGCATAGAGACCACAATGAAGATAAACAGGTTGCTTACCTGTAACTGATGATCGAGTGGTCATCTATGCATTCACACTTTGCCCCCCTTCCCCACCGCTGTCAGCCTGTTTAGGTTCATTCCTTGTTGGGGTTGGCAGTGGTCAGAAGGAAGTGGTGGGATACTGGGGCCCCACCCTCTGGGCATGTGTGGTTGGAGTCCCTGCGCATGCTCGGAGGCGGGGCTCCAGATCCTTTTGCGCATGTTAGAAGTTTCCCGAAGCAGAGTCGGCGCAGGCGCCTTAACCCATAGGTGTGAATGCATAGGTGGCCACTCGAAGATCATCAGTTACAGGTAAACAACCTGTTTTTCTGTAATGAGGTTTGTTCTGTTGATGAGCATGTTCTGTTTGTTCTTGTTCTTCAGAGGAACAATAGGAGTACAAAAGTTGGTGATGGTGTAAGTAAGTTCTGCACTTTCATCAGTCAGAATGGAGGAGTAGCTCAGTCTCTAGTAGGGGTGTGCAGTCAGATACTGCTGACCTGAACAGATGCCCTGTGTTCTGGGGGATCGGATTGGGATGGCAGTATCTGATACTGCTGCTGCCCCCAGACACAATTCTGGTTATATTACCATTCCTGATATTACTGGCATCCAGAATCCTGTCAGGGAAGGAGTGGCTAAGGAGGAGGGAGTGCTCCCCCCAGCTGGTTCATGGTGCACTTGCTCTTTAAATTTTAAAAGGGCCTCTGCTCTCAATTGGGAGGCCAGGTCTACTCCCATTGAAAGTAATGGCCCTTTAAAATTTAAAGGCCCTGTGCCCATTTATGCATGTGGGGGTCTCTAAACAGGTGGTAGACCTGGCCTTCAGAGGGCGATTAGTTCCTAGGGGAAATTACAGAGGTCTGCCACCCATTATTTAAAGTACCACCCATTTGTTGGTGGGGCATGGGCCTTTTACATTTTAAAGGGGCATTATTTCCTAAGGAATAGACCTGGCCTACAGAGTTCCAAGGCCAGGTCTACCCCATAGGAAATAGTGGCTCTTTAAAATTTAAAGGGCTCATGCAGTCAATCAGCTGGAGGCCTTTCCTCCATTTTAATTTTGCATGAGGGAGTCAAGAATGGCATAGTTAACATCAAATATTGGGAGTACTTTTCCAGTGTTTCTGGAAAAACTTTCAAATATGACAATAATCCTGATATTTAACAGTAAGCATGCCCTTGTTAACTTCACAGTGCAGAATTAAAATTATAAATTGCCTTCAAAAGGCAAATTTATCTCACAGTGCTCCCACTGTAAGACAGCCTGCAGAGAGTTGAAGATTTTGTTGATGATCAAAGTCTCCCTCTTGATCTTAATTTTAAAAATCAAAGGCCTTTCGCAAATTAATTTTATGGTTTCTGCTTTAGAGACTGTCTATTTAGATGACTGTTTTATAGCATTATAAATGTGCCAATCTTTCTAGCACCTAATTGGTCAGCTAACTTTGATGTTCCTATGGAAACCACACATGGCAGCAATCTGGATTCTGTTGGGTCTGATGTATGGAGCACAGAAGAACCTGTACCAGCAAAAGAAACTGGATGGGCTTCCTTTTCAGAGTTCACATCTTCTCTAAGGTAAGAAAGTACTACGCTGCTGAAAAAACTGTTAACTGAATTAAAGAAAAGGCCAAGATATGAAGGATGTATATGCTTTTGTCTGATAATGTTAAATTGTGGCTTTGCTTTGAAACTATTAAGAACATAAGAACATAAGAGGTGCCAATGTTGGATCAGGCCAAAGGCCCATCCAGTCCAAAACTCAGTGGCCAGAAATACCAGTGCCATCAGGAGGTCCACCAGTGGGGCCAGGACATTAGAAGCCCTCCCACTGTTGACCCCCCCAAGCACCAAGATGACAGAGCATCACTTGCCCCAGAGTCCCTATCTATACCTTGTGGCTAATAGCCACTGATGGACCTCTGCTCCATATGCTTATCTAATTCCCTTTTGACGCCGTCCATTCCTGTGGCAGTGAATTCCAAGTGTTAATCACTCTTTGGGTGAAGAAGTACTTCCTTTTATCCGTTCTAACCCGACCGCTCAGCAATTTCATGGAGTGCCCACGAGTTCTTGTATTGTGAGAAAGGGAGAAAAGTACCTCTTTCTCTACCTGCTCTTTCCCATGCATAATCTTATAAACCTCAATCATGTTTTATTACAGTTGAGGTGACATGGCTTGTGATAATTAGGCCCTTAAACAATCTTTGTTCTTCAGATGAACAATAGAAAATTACACCACCACACTTTTTTTTGGGTTGGGGGCTTCTGGCTTCAGTTCTGTGTAGAATCTTTCAAGATCCAAAACAGAGCAAGTAGCACCAAGCCAGGCACCAGAATTTTATAGCCTTCTTGTTACCTGTTGTGACAGACTGCACTTTTTAAAAGCAAACATTTGAAGGACTCTGAAGGGTTAATTCTTCACAGAAACAGAGCCTTGAGTGACAGGCTACTCTAAGCAATCTGATTGGTTAGCATTAGCTGAGCAGAGACTTTAGAGCAGAATGTTGAGGAGAATTCATTTGTAATTTAGCAGTTTAACACAGACAGAACTGGGGAAAGTTGGCAAAGATGAGTGGGTAGTTAGATGAAGACTCCCATTCAGGCCAAAGAAAAGGGATACATCTTTTAGTAAGAGGAGAATTTCTTTACCAGTCAAACAGGGAGTTAGCTCTGAAGAGTGAAGAGACCCCTGGTCTGGTATGGTTAGAAACTGCCTTTAAAGACCTTAGGAGTCAGTTAAAAACTCAAGATGAGTACTGGTGTTTCAAGAGAAGGGT